TAAAAAAAAAAAATCTTCCTGTGGAAGTCCTAAAACACTTTTTTTATATTGCGTCAATTATGGTTTTATTTGGAAGGGAAAGAACATGTGCCTTTGTTACAGCCAATTGTGTAGCTTCTGTTTTTAACTTCTGCAATTTATTTTGATTAAATAAATGTCTGGTTTTGTCCTAAAGGTGTAGGTTTTTTAGCATAGCTTCCTAAATAAGCGAAGCTTATGTTGTGTCCATTAATGCACTCCCTACTTATTTAGCACATTAGCCAATCTTACACATTAAAAAAAAAAACCAACCAAAAAACCAAAACAAAAAAACCCAAAACCAAACCCCAAAACAGAATTAAAAAAACCAAAAAACAACAAAACAACTCCACAACAAAAAACAGGCAGCTTGGATGAGCCCAAAAAACCCTAAGTTTTTCTGCTGCAGACATTACTTCTGTATTGACTGGCTTGTCAGCTTGCACAGCTAAGGTGCCTGTTTGAAGCATCTGGAGGGAGCTTAAGGGTACTGGGAGGGGAAGGTGCAGAATGTCTCTGGGGGTGCATGGAGGACCAAGGAGTACTTCTGGGAAGGGAGGGTTAGAGGCTACAGTGGGGCAGCAAAGGCAGTTGAAGGATACCACTTGCGTGTGTAGCCCCTAAGAGCCAGCTGTAAGCAATGGTTTTCAACACGGCCATCAGGTAGCTTTTAAACTTTCAATCCTGGCTTGTGAAAATGTCATCTAGGTGTAACTAGAAGCTGCAGTTATGGAATTGCAGCTGGAGCTGCCACAGTTGCAGTTGTGAGAGTTATGCCAAGGCATAGGTAACATGGAATAAAATAAAATCCTACCTGATCTATCGGACTTTGGAAGCTAATTTCCAGTCACTTAATGATCGTTCTCACTCTTCATAGAGAGTAATCTGTTAGCCTGATTTAGAGAGTGTTATTTTATATTAGAGATGTTTATCCTTATCTCTATAAGGGAACAAATAAATCTGTTAACTTAATGAGTAGGCTGGCTTTGACCTTTGTCTGTTGAAAGCCCTGTCTTGTTTCTAATCGCTGAAGACAAAAGTTTCTAAGTTTTCTGCTCCGTTACTTATTAGCCTGAATAATGCAAAGTCCAACATGTGCTGTCTCCATGTGTTACTTATATTTGCTGAGCTACTATACTAGTCTCCTTATGCATTGTTTTATGCTAGCAAAGACCTAGTCCAAGATTTAAGAGGAAATACCCTGATCAGCCCGCACAGCTGCCCAAGTGTCACTGCAGGGCAATATGGTGGAAAATAAAAATGAACAAGAGTTTCTATCCCATAGCCAGCACGGTTGGGGGGGTGTGACTGGTGCTAACAGTTTTGAATTGTTTTGGGTGAAGTTATGTCCCCTTGATTGTCCATTAGAGGGGAAAAAATATTTCACCGGATACAAGTTAATTTCTTGAAGCATAGATTTGTCCTGGTGACTTGGAAGCGGCGCTCCTGGCCTGTGCTGCACCCAGATACACTCCGCTGTTGTTCCTCCTGTTGGCATTGCCTGTGGATGTTTGAGTTGTTAAGATCAAATGCATGGACAGAAAGATGGGGTCTCGGCTTGCTTGTGTGTTGCTACTGTGTGTCTATTTGCAGGTTTCTTTTTTCTTGTTTGGTTTTGGTGTTTTTTGTTTTTTTTTTTTAATCTGACGAGCAGCTCATACTCTTGGCTGGGGAGGGCTGGAGAGAGGCGGCTGCTGATGGTTTTCCAGGTGATGACAAGAAAATGTGTGGTAGACTTATCTCATGGGTTAGAATCTAACAGCATTTCACCAGCACTGGAATACACTCTGCACATACCATCATTCAGGAGGGTGGTGGTGATGGTGGGGGGTGGGAGGAGGAAACAATGAGAGGTCTGTCTTGATGCTGTTTGGGGGGGGGGTTAACCCTTTTCTATCTGCTTTATCTCCTGGGGGCCAGCTCTGTCGAGTCACTGCCAGCAGTGGGGTCTTTTTAACTGTATAAACAGTTTTAAAAAATAGTGATTCATCTTCTCAGCTCAGAAGGGAGATGCGCTACTCTGTCCCACGCACGCCCTCTTCTCCAGCCTGCAGTGGCCCACGGCTCATGCTGTGCTTGTGGCTTTCCATGCCGCGGCTGAGCTTGGCACCCCATGCCGTGTGGCAGGGGCTCCTGCAAGCCAACGGGGAGCAGGAGCTCACAGCCGCCGTCTGCTGCACAAGGAGAAATGGGAGACGTGGCAGTGGTGGGGAGAGGCCACAACCAGAAACCCAAGTAATCTCTGTTAAAAATGACAGGTTGTGCTTTGCGCCGCACTGCACACCTACGTGAGACAGTCCCTCTTGGGCAGGATGCTAGCTCACTTAGAAACTGCCAACGCTCTTCAGATAGGAACCTTTTACGTGTTATCCTACATTATTGTTAATTTCTGGAGCAGGAGGCTCAGTGTGGTTGCAGGCGTGACCTCATTTAACCTATTTTCTTATTGTTGACAAACTCCAGATTCCAACTGTTAAAACTCTAGAGGAATTTGGAAAGTCAGGCTACAGTGAACACTGCAGTTGCCAAATATTTTGTCCTGCATCATAAAAAAACGAATACATTCCTTTTTTCAGCAAGCTACAGCAGAAAGCGATCGAAGTCCTCCCTGAGTAATGAATGTGAATTGCCTCGCTAGCCTGTTCCCATAGTAATAAATTGGATCAACATTGGTATCTGCGTTAGAAGCCTACACCTCCAGAGCTATCCCACAAACCTTCTGTAGTTCCTGACTCCTGCGTCAAGCCCTGCACAATCAGTGTTTTCCCAGCAGTGCTGCCAGCCTTGGCTGCAGGAGCCCGGCCGGGGCGATAAAGCACGCAGCCCTGCACAAAGTGGGACTTGTCTGTTTGCAGTGCAGGGCTGGGGCGGGGAGGGCAGGGGAAATGCCAGGCACGCTTCAGGCTCTTCTCTCCTGACCCACTGACGCAAGAACAAGCTTGTGAGGTTATCTGGAACGGGCCGCGTTTTGCTGACGGACGTTTGTACAGTATGAAAACGTTTGGTGGCTTTGCACACGCTGGAGGGCTCAGCCCACGTGCTGGCATTGGGGTGCAGCACACCAGATGGCCCCAGTGGCCAGCATTTTCGTCCTGCACGGCAAGCAGCCAGCCACGGGTGGCGGCCAGCCAGGAGCCCCCAGCCTGCTGAGAAAGCGGGCAGCAAGGAGTGCGCGGTGCTGGGAGCAGACATGGTGCCACGACAGGGCCTGAGCACTGATCTGAGCTGCAGCCAGAGCAATCTGTTCCTACAGGTTTACTCCTTCAGCCCTGTGAGTCTGTGCTCTCCACCGCTGCACTGGCTTTTTGTCCAGTCCAGCCTGCCTGCACCCTGCCAGCGCTGCAGCAGAGAGCGCCTTTCCCTGGGGAAATATGCTGCAGAGGGGAGAGAATTAACCCCCATTAGCAGCAGTGAGGGGAGATGTCACCCCAGCAGGCCAAAAAAACCCTACTCTTGCCTTGAAAAATAAAGCTGCTTTGTGTTAGTATCTGGAGTTTGTGCAGGTGTGTGTGGAGGCACGTGCTGGCGGCACGGAGGAGCCGGGCGTTTCCCAGGGATGAGCTGGACGAGGAGTTTGCTGGTTGAGCTATGCCATTCTTGCTTGCTTGCCACTGCCCATAGAAGGAGTCTGAGGGGATGAGCTAAATTTAGCTGGCTTGGTGAATTAGCCTCCTCCCCAGGCTGCCAAAAAGCGGTACAGTTGATCTGGACAGTGGAAGGCTTATAATCGAGGTGACAGGTCAGCATTACCTGAGGATTTCTTTTTGGTTGTGTTTTGGTTTGGGTTTGGGTTTTTTTTGGGGGTTTTTTTTGCAAGGCAGCTGTGCTGTGGTGTGATTCATCGTGAAGGAGAGGAAACATGGAGTGCAGCAGTAAAGCATTGCTGAAGATGACCAGGACTTTCCAGGACGGGCACATGATCCTGTCCGTAGCTGTTGCAGATGCACCCACTAACCCCAGGGGTGGAGGCGGGCCTGTGCCTGCCAGAGAAGGCCTGTATGCAGCTACAAACCCTTCTGTTTTCAACCTCTGGCAATTTGTTTTGAAGCAAAGATGACACTATCTCTTAGAAACCATTTATTTTTACACCAAAAGAACAGCCAGCATCTCATTCAGAGATGTGAGCAGAGAAGTAACTTCACCACAGACCACCTCTTTGCTATACGTGGGTGGAGGTGCTGCTGCTCGGGCACCATCAGCCCCTCATGGGCACGTGGGGCATGTGACCCCCCCTCCCCACATCCACCCCAAAGGCACCCTCCAGCAACCATGCACGTCTGGCGGCACGGGGAGCAGGGTGATGCCTCTGGCAGCCACACGGGGCCTTGCGCAGGGGACTGTCCCAAATGTCTGCAGACAAAAAAAACCATGGCCGTGGGGTCTGCCCTGGGCTGGACGAAGCAGGGCGTGTGTGTGTGGTGGCGAGACCCACCCTCACCAGCCTGCACCAAGCCCCAAGCCTGTGGTGCCGGGGGGGTGGTGCTGGCACGGAATGAACAGGGACAGACAGAACAGGGAGAGGGACTACGGCCACTCACACTTTTCCTTCTTTGCTCCAGGACTCCCTGGTTTCCAGCAAGCATCAAGTGGACATTTTTCCGTAGAACTCAGTTTGTGACCATGGGGAACAGAGAGGCACCTGGGTGATGCGGTAATGGGAAGCACTGAAGTGCCCGGCCCTGTCATCATGAAGCAGCGCCGAATGCAGAGGAGGCAGCTCTTGGCTGCCTTGCACCAGGGACAGGCCACCAGTGCCAGCTATGGTCTGTGGCTTGGCTGGGCCCACCTGGCCCTTGCTGGGTGCCGGGCAGGCAGCTGCTAACAGCAGCTGGATAGCACGCGAGACCAGTTTGACTCAATTTTGTAATTCCCTCCCGTTGTTCTCCAGGGTAAACACAGCCATGCACTGGGCACCTCTTCTGCTGCCCCGGGAACCCCGGTACCGTGCAGAGGGATACCAGGAGAAAGCAGACACATCTGCCTTGTGGATTCACCCTGTTTATTGAATGCAAACAGAAGGCAAATAACTGGGACACAGAAGAGTTGTAATCTGACTTTGGCCTCTGATTTTCCTGTGCGATCGATAGCACAAAGGAGGAAAAAAAAAAAAATAAAATTCTGTGTATTAAAAAAAAAAACCCCAAACAGTGAAAGAGGAGATGAAAAGAATGTTGAACAATTAGTGACATCTCATGTGAAGAGATGGAGGATTAATAATGGCAAGGAAATTCAAAGCCATGCCTAGCATTCCTTATTGCAAACAAGATTCGGCAGGGGGGCAGGGACGATGCTTTCCAAGGAAAAGCAGCAGAGAAGAAACGATCCACACTAGCTTTGTGAGAGCGTGGTTTACTTTGGGAAGACGGTGACCACCTCGTAGCCCTCTGGGGGAATCACCCGCTCCCGGGCGTGCTTCTCGCAGTAGATTTGGTCTTCGACGAAGAAGTGTCCTTTCTGCTTGAGGTTGGTGCCGCAGTCGCTGCACACGTAGCACTCGGGGTGACGCTGCTTGTCCCGGATCTTCACAAACATCCCTCTGGGGAAGGAACCAGCACCTCTCAGTGCCAGGCACCCACCACTGCCTCCCTCCTTCCCAGCCACCTCCCACCCGGCCCAGACCCACACCAGTGCTGCAGGTGGACAATTTTTTCCTGCTCCCGACAAGTCAAAGTATAGGCCCTACCTCTGGTCAGGCAGATGTTAACAGCACTTTTAGAGCCCAACATGTGCCGGCATGGGAGCCCTCCTCTGGAAAGTGTTTCCTAGCGCTGGCCTGCCTAAGTTTCACAGGGACAGCCCTATCATCTCTGGTGGCAAGAATTGCTGCAATGGCATCTTTAGCTGATGGCTGGAGACAGCACAACAGCCTTCAAATGCCCAGGATCAAATGACAGGCATCAGCTTGACCATCTGGGGGAGCAAAATCCAGGTCCAAACCAACGGGATTGCAGAACAAATCCAGAAAAGACTGCCTCCACCAACCGAGGGGGATGAAGGCTGCGTAGCCAGCCACTGCCCTTTCGCTAGTGATGGACACGCCAGGTATGTATGGGAGAAGCACAGAGACCAGGTCCTGGCTCTGATCTCAGACGCTGCTGCTCAGGAGCTGCAGTGAACAGATCCAGCCAACTGTGGGCCAGCTCTTACTGGAAAACTTCACAGCTTAACCCAGCAGATGATGAGGAAAACTACATAGAAACTCGTTAACTACCACCAGCAGCAACACAACAATTTGCCAGGAGTATCATTTTGTTCCAGCAGCCATCTATATTTTCCATAATTCATTAGTTTTTAGTGCTATTCATAGCCTTGTGCTTTCTCTCCAGATCTACCCAGCTGCTAGAATAATTGTAGGTTTTGTCTCTGATTCATATTTTACAGGCTATGGATTGCCTCTGTAATGACTCTGCCGGTCCTTGGCGCTCCAGGCATGCCAGGACCATGCAATCACAGTGTAGTAGGTCTCAGCAACAATCTGATAGCTTGTGGTGGGTGGCATGGGACAAATCTGAATTCTTTCACAATGATGCAGGTGGGCTACCAGCACTTGACTGCTGGAGTCAACTGTTAAGCTAAGGTGGTTGTAGGGAAGAATTTGTGGTTGAGAAACTGAATGGTGAATCAAAGACATGGGTTGGGTCTCTTGTGCTGTCATGCTTATGGTACAGCAGCTCTGTATCAACCCCATGCCCCTGCTGTGCTGGAAGCCAGATGTACCCACATAAAGACAACAAAAAGGTCTTGTAGTGAGTGCGCCCTTCGCTACAAGGACGTTGAGGTGCTGGAGCGTGTCCAGAGAAGGGCAACAAAGCTGGTGAAGGGTCTAGAGCACAAGTCTTATGAGGAGTGGCTGAGGGAACTGGGGTTGTTTAGCCTGGAGAAAAGGAGGCTGAGGGGAGACCTTATCATGCTCTACAACTACCTGAAAGGAGGTTGTAGCGAGGTGGGTATCGGTCTCTTCTCCCAAGTAACTAGCGATAGGACGAGAGGAAATGGCCTCAAGTTGCGCCAGGGGAGGTTCAGATTGGATGTGAGGAAAAATTTCTTTACTGAAAGGGTGGTTAAACATTGGAACAGGCTGCCCAGGGAAGTGGTTGAGTCACCATCCCTGGAAGTATTTAAAAGATGGGTAGGTGAGGCGCTTAGGGACATGGTTTAGTGGGCATGGTGGTATTGGGTTGACGGTTGGACTCGATGATCTTAGAGGTCTTTTCCAACCTTAATGGTTCTATGATTCTATGAAAAATTATGTCTGCGTAGACACAGTGGAGGTGTGTGGTCTTAGAGCAGAGTGCGGAGCAGAATGCAGTTCTCCCAGTCCACATTTGCCTCTGACCACCAGGGCAAGTCCCCACTCCATGGCTGGGAGTGCCAAGACATGAAAATTATTAAATACACAGACCCTGAATAGAATGGTCATTTGGTTTCTGGGTGCTGTAAACAGCTTTCAGATAGGAAGCAAAACACTGCAGCAACAACTGTCTCGAGGTTTGACTCACAGGGACTTGCTTTGGTTTCTATTGGTATGGATCTGTAGAGGGAAACCCAACTCCTGCCTCACTGCAGAGAACGGCAAAGTTAGCATTATCAAAGCTGGTGAGAACAAACGTGCTTTGAGGCGGCTCCTGGATGCACTGGATGTGGGTAGGTGAAGTGTTTTGGGTGCAGCACCTCAGCCCCTTGCACAGGCATGGGACGCTCGTCCACGGCCTGCAACCCCAGGGACAAGCTTACTTACACAATGCCAGATCCACACTTCTCGCACATGGGCAGCTTCTGGGCATTCCCAATCGATGAGGCCACCTTTGTGGTGGGGGCTTTGACGCTCCTAAATCCAGATGGTTTGATAGGGTCTCCTGGGGGTGGAAGGAGAGTGCTTCAGAGCATGTGAGATGCGTGGCTCTAGGCTCTTCCTCCCAAGCAGATGCTCTGCTAGGGAGGGGTGGTATTCTTTAACCCCAGCTCTGAGGCAGGGATTCATGCATGGAAAGGGGACAGGGATTTAGGAGTGTGTGGGGAGGAGGGAGAGAAGGGACACAGATGAAACCTGAGGGCCTGAGACTGTGGGCAGTCAGATGAGATGATACTGTCTCTTCTCATCTTAAAAGCCTATCAGACTTTAGCTGATGTGTCTCACATGCACAGATGCACAAAGCAAAGCCTCAGCCCCAGCCTTGGCAGCACCGGAGTCTGCCTGTCGTGTCCTGATCACACACACAGGGGCAAGCTGATGATTGCCAGATTTGGGCTCAGAAACAGGAGGTGGGTGTCCTGGCAGACTAGGGAGGACTGTCAAAGTCCTTTTCCAGTCTGCTGTCTGGTGTACAGGGGGGCTGGCTCCCCCAAGACTCCTGGAAGAGTTGGTTAACAAATTCCTTGTTGTGGCAGGGCCCTGGGACACTGGGGATAACCTTGTGCTCTCCTGCTGCTGTGTAACAGCTCCAGGAACGGTATCTCCCTAGTGCAACCTCTCTGGGGCAGGGATGTCCTGCAGGTCCTTCACAGGACACAGCTGCTGACCTGGATGCCTACAACAGCAGTGGATCCTAGATGCAGGATACAAGGCAAGCCTTTAAAAATCTGCAGTGAAAAAGGAGCCTCTTACAAAGTGACAGCATTGATGTGATTAGTCTTATCTATATGACTTTTTACAAGAGGTTCAATACCAGGCAACAAGGGAAGGAAGGATGCAGAGACTCCCACGATGTTTCACCAGAAGCAGCGGGGGATCCATGGGCAGACCTGTGCCACCTCAGTCTGGGAGGGATGCTGACAAAACCCTTCTGACTAGTATCAAGCCAAGAGCACACTGCACCGGTTGTTTCTGGTGTAAGGGAAGGACAAACTCTCCAAAGGCACACCCTGGTGACCAGCAAGGTCAGGCACACCTCACAGTCCGGGGCAGCACCACTGACAGAAGAGCTGAGGGGAAAAGCCGGGAAACTGCCCACTCACCTCCCTGTCAGCCAGCCGAGCGCAGAAAGCGGCCCGAGTGTCACCGCTCACCCGTGGGGCGGGTGACACCGCGCTGCTTTGCCTCTGGGCAGCCTTCAGCTCAGAGGTTTGCACCCAGCTCCGTGCAGAGATGCTGGTCCAGAGGTGCAAGTTCCCTAATGGGGGTGATACAGCCCATGCACCCTCCAAAGACAGCAGGGAGCACCTGGCCTCCGACAGAGATACTGCAAGTGACCCTTGCTGGGAAGGAAGCAGCAGCAACCACATTTTCAAGCTCTTCCCTATCACCTCTGCTCATTCCCTCTGCCTCAAACAGCACTTTGCTCGCACCAACAACATTGACAGCATGTTTTTAAATCTCTCTAAAGGAATCAGCTTAATCAAATACCCACAGGAAACGTAACCTGTTCTGCTCTGCAAAACACCCTCCACCTCAGAGCGCAGGGCCAGGTGTAAACACAGACCAGCCGTGGTGCTTCCACACACCAGCACCCGCACACAGACCCGGTGTCCGGGGCCAGGCTCTCAGCTGTCAGTAAGTCAGCACAGCCGATACGGTCAGCGATGCCCCAAGGGACTTGTCCCAGCTGAGGAGATAGTTCCCTGCTGCTAGTCACAAGCCATCGCCTGAAGACAGGCTCGGAGAAACAGCCAACAAACGTGCTATTTATCTGCTGTTTATTGCCGCAGACATGATCTGACTCAGCAGCAGTGGTGTTTGAGCCCGGCCGAGCGGCGCGGCAGGCAGGGGCACTGTCTCCTCGGGGACAAACATTCCTTTGGGGCGGCGTAACTTCCCGGCCCTGCTCCACATGGGTGATTATCAGCTCACGGTGGAGCAAAGCCAAAGCCTATCCTGGCCTGTGATCGGGCTGGCAAACCTTGTGCCAGAGAATCCCAATAATGCTGCAAATCTTCAAAGAAAGACAAAATAGAGAGGCTTTTGCTTCTTATCTTCTTCAGCACTACTAAGCACGGGGGAGGACCTTGGATGTGTGAGAAGTCCCAGCTACTCCAGTCCCTTCCATGCCGGAGCTGAACCCTGAAGGGCAAGTTGCAAACACTCAATATTTAAAAGATGCTTTCAGGTAGGTATTTTAACAGCGTATTAAACACTCCAAGATCCTGGTTTCTTTCTTCCTATTGTTTCCTTATTTCCTTCATTTTGCTCTTTCCTTACAGATCCGTGAGACCTACCAGCACTTGGCTGATCTGTTTCCTGGTATCTCAGCACCAGGCTTTTGTTGGATGAAATTGAATGTTCCACTGCCAAGCTAATAACACAGAAGACAAAGTCTCAACTGGCCTAAGGAAAAAAAAGTCATTCTTGGAATTCTTTTCCTATTTATTTGTTTATTTTATTTTATGCAAGGGGAGAAGAGAGTATGATTTGGCCCCCAGTTAAGTTAATTGGCTTTTCTTAAAAGTCTATAGCCCTGAACTGCACAAGTCCAGATGTCAGATCAAGAATGCCAAACAGAGCAAAGTTTCAGAGATTAAAAGCCATGAACTGCTCACTGTAACCTAGCTTCCATATTTTTACATTCAGCTGCAGAAGTGGATCCTTTTTCTAGTGCAGAAGGATGGAGACCAGAAGCTTTAGGACCCACTGAAAAGCCCTACCTTGTGGTACCTACCTTGTGGTACCAATCTAAGATGATCTTTAATCAGTGAATGTTACCTTAAAGGGGCAAAACTTTAGGAAGCAAAGAAGAGGTTTTGCAGCTTTTTAAATTCCTTCTTGACAACTAAATGTTGTAGGGGTTTATTTCTTGAGCACTCACTCAATGAGTAAGCAACGATATGGGCCCTAATCAAGGAGAGGAAATTTAGGAGTCAAGTTAGTGAAAGGGTCTGTTTCTGTGGAAACCATCTACACACGCTACCTTGAACAACCACCAGCTAAGGAAGGAAAATAAAATTTTAGATGTTATTCTTTTAAACACTGTGCACAGCCCAAGGAATGGCAAAAGGGAAGAGCACACTCAGCTTAGGTATGCAATGGGTGCTTACCTTTCTCTTCTGACTCCAAAATCTCTTGCAACACGAGGAAGGAAGCAGATTGTCTGGGTGGCTCATTTGACTCTTGATTCTCCTGGAGCATCTTGTAAACCTCAGATTCTCTGTCTATGACGATGCCGCCTGGGGGCTGGTTATGCTGATCTAAACTGAGGAAGGAACAGAGAACATGCTTGTTAAATGGCTGAAAACTAAAGCCAGTCCCTCGAGCAAAATTTTAACAATGCATCATATGACTGAAGAATGAACGTGCAAAACAAACGCACAACAGGACGCCGTAAAACACGGAGGTGCTGGGTGTGTTTGCACAAGACAGCTGCAGCCCAGGTGGGATCGGCACGCTGGGCTATCCGCGTACGCCACTGTCAGCGGGTTCTCACCGACCGCCTCCGACCAATCCCCAAGTGTTCTCCCTGCTTTGCAATTACTATATGCTCCAGAAACTAAAACTTTCGGCCCAGGAAATCACTGCTCTGTTAATAGGAAAATAAAGAACTCATGTGCCGAGATGGGAATCCCACGTAGTGGCTGTGCCATCTATGCATGTTCCTTGCATGCATAAACTACCTTAGACTGCTACCTTACACCGCTGTGAATCTCAAATTAAGTAAGGTTTATTCCATCAAAAAGAAATCTTTGTAAGTACACTGTGAATTGGTCCTAAAGGCCACCTTCACAAAGTAACAGCTGTAGGATCTAACTAAAAGATCCTCTGATTGGCAAAAATTTAATTGTGTTTTCAGGTGTTATTATTTCCATTTTATAGGTGGAGACTCTGAGCTACAGCCCATTTACAGCATTTAACTAAGGTTAATGAGCAGATCAAGGGCAGAGGAGATTTCTGCCTGCTAAGACTGAGTCTTCCTTTCAGCTGCCTCCTGAGCGCTGCTGCTGCCACTCATGTCACGAGGGACTTGCACCCTCAGCCTAGAGACCGAGGTGCTTCAGGGGCAGCTTTTCACAGTGCAGGGTGGCTGAAAGGGTGGTCATTGTGTCAGCAGAAGGGTCTTTAGGAAAAAAAAAAAGAGAGGCTGGAGGCAGTACCTAGGATGTTCTCCACATTCGGCGGGTACAGGATGAACTACAGGCTTAAAACGGCAGGATATTCAGAACCTCCCTTGGGAAAAGCTTTCCAACAGACAGACACCGAAATACCAGAGGAGATATTGCCGTGGGCAGGTGAGCAACCTGCGTACTAAAGGATTTAAAAAGAGTCTGGACAAATATCCGCTGGGAATGATTTAAATCAATGGTTTAAATTGACAAAATGCTGGGCTAGGGGATGGACTAAATGACACGGGACGTTCCTGCCTGCCTTGTATTCTGTGGCTGGAATAAAACATCTCTGGAAAAATGACACAACTGACCAGTCTCCTCTGACAGCTCAATTACATAATGCAGCCTTATAAATGTAAATGGTCTATTAGGTTTCACCGTCCCTGCACCCTGTGATTGCCGGAAATGTACATAAACATCCTGAAGTTCAGACTAAATTGCAGAGGGAAATCTTTTTCTTGAGGAGGCAACCGCATACTTTCCATGCCAATGCGCAATTGAGTCATCTGAGAGTTACTCTACATAATAAACTCTTCAAGCATCAGAGGTAAAATCATCGCACGTCTTATAAAATGCTATTTCCATAAAAAGAATTTCAGAAAATGTTTCCATCTTTAGTAATTTTCAGTGGAGCAGGAAGCACATTAGACTTGCAAGCAGTTGAACCCTTGAAGCCTGGATCTCATTTACCAAAGCCTCTCATCCAAAATAAAATAATTATGTGCCTTCTATTACACAGAAAATGTCCTAGGTTATCCCAAATGAATCCATGCTCCACATTACATTCATCTTACGTAAACTCATATACTCCCACCACTCTGTCCACCCATAAAAACATTAGGCAAGAAGCCTGTCATTGCAGTTTGCATACTAAGAATGTTTCACTAACATGCATTCAAAAAGCAAAGGCTAAATCATCTTAAAGAGCACTCGAGTCAAACAAAGCCATCACATTTCAACCATGCATTGTGACAGTGTGCAAAACATACAGATCAGCTCTCCCAGGTATGTACCCTATAGGTATACTTGCATACACAAGATTTCCGAAAGACTATAAAAAAACCCCAAATCCTAGAATTTGTACCAGCAGAGTGAAATATTTCAACTTGTCAGGGCAGAAGGCTACGCTGCTTAAAGAAAAAAAAAAAAACCGAACACCAAAAAGCACATGCATCTTTTGAATGGGCAAGGCCACAGGCACAGGAATTGTGCCTGCGGGATAATGAGTCTCCATATGTCGGCTGATTTATGGCACCTCCTGTTACGCAGGTACTTCATCTGCAGTGATCACCAACAACTGGTGTCCTTTTCCATGCGCAGGAGTTCCCCAACGCAGAAACTTCGTAGGGGACAACTCCAACAACCCTTACTGAATTTCAGACTCACATAACCGCTACTGGATTTCACTGCTTCTACCATGGGCAACTTGCAACGCTGACTAAGACTGCATCATTGAGCTTTGAAAATTGGCAAGAAGATGGTAATAAACCATAAAGACACAGCCTGGCACAGTGTCTTCAGAAAAGCACAGCTTATGCTTTACTAATGTCATTTTACTAGTTTATGCTGGCACATTTTGTAAAGTCTACAAGGATCTCAAAGCTGGGCTACAGGAAGGCCCAGTACTTGGGAGCACTCGTTTTTGCAATGAAACAATTGCTGATGCCTGGGGCTCCTTTGCGAGTGTTATCAGCTGTCGGGACCAGCACAGCCAGCAGAGTGTGACCACTCCTGGCGTGCACGGTATCGACTACAAGCCAGAGCAGTGACTTACGGCAAGTAACTGGACTGAGTAACAAGGCAGCAGTAAATCCACAGCCTCCCATTATCTCTTGGCTGCTGGCACATGGCAAAAACTTGGCTGTGTGGGTTCATGGGTGAGTATGCCAACTTTTCGGCTTTGAAGCACATGGTGCTCAGCCCAGGAGGGGACTGTGAGCAGCTGAGAAGCTACGAGATCTGGCTGTGCCCATTCGCTCTGTCCCACGGAGGCCATGGGACTGACCACCTCCCTGGACCACACTGTCACACAGCTGCAAAGCTGCTTGCTCACATAACGGGATAACTCTGCAGAAGGTTCACATCTTCTGGAACAATTCAGCCTTGATTGGAGCCGTCCTGAGAGATGGCTAAATGTGCTTTCTGCTTCACCCATCTCGATACTGAAGTCCTCCCTGTAAAACCCTGTGGGCTGTCATTTAGAGGCATGGGCCAGCTGGTTCCCAACTGCCACAAAACAAACAACAAAGAGCACCCAGGCCTTGTGATGCTGAGTCTCTCCGCAGGTCCTGCAGACCTCAGAGCATGTCAAGCATCCTCCGCTCCTACGGCCAAAGAGGCAGCCCCAAGAGCAGCAACCTGTGCAGACAAGTGGGCAGGGGTGGGAACACAGATTGGGTCCTCCATATGCCTGGTGCCTGCCCAGGCTGCTCCAAACTCACGAGTGTTATCAGCCAAAGATGGAGACCCATGGGGACCTGCTTCAGCCTGAAATGAAACACGCCCAGCCCACGCCCATGGCCCAGCCCACAGCCAGCGAAACAAAAGCACAAAGACACGTGTGGCAGCACCTTCCAGTCGCAAACAACAACAGAGAAACACCAGCTTTCAGGATAATGCACGCTCCTCCCCCAGCAAATCCATCTGCTGCAGGTGGCTTCTCCAGGAAAGCCACCAGCTGCTGTCAAGGCCCTGCTGCGCGGGTGCGCAGGCGGCAATGGACACACTGACAGGCTGAAATTATGTTTTGTTGCTTCCCGCAGTGTTGGACACAGACACAATGAAGAGAAAGCTCCTGTGAAGAGTCATGCACTAATGTTGGAAAGGTGAAATGTAAACGCTGTTTCCTTGTGACCGGCCAATGCCGTGAGCCACAGACAAGGATGAGGCACTCGTGGACACCGAGATGTGGATGAACGGATGCACCGAGCTGTCCGCAGAGGCAGCAGGCAGGTTACCTGAGGAAATCGGGGCTAACAGAAGAGATCTGCCCCTGCAGGGAATCCATGATGTTGCTCTGTGAATAGAGCTGCAGGGGAGAATTGAACTGCACATGCAGCACTTTGAGTCCCGGCACCTCCACTTCCACGGGGCTGTTGGGGCAGACCTGGGCCACATGCTTCAGCTGCTCAGGCCCCACTCGAACTTGGCTGGGGACAGAGGAGGTGCTGTGCCTCCGCTGCGGCAGCTCGGAGGTCTGCGCCTGCAGAGGGTTATAGATGGAGGCAAAGGGAGCCTGCATCGCGCTCATCGGCGATGGGCAGCTACGGGCCCACACGTTCACACGGGCAGTTTGAGTTGTGGTTGTTTGGGGGTTGATTTGGGTTTTACAATGTGGAATTGAGGAAAAAATGCAGAGGAGGAAGAAAGGAAAGAAGGAAGAAATTAATAAAGGGCTAAACCAAATATTCCAAGTGATATAAGCAATTGCAGAATACTGTCTGTTCCTTGTGCTGGAGGGACACACCACTGAATACATGACTTTACATTAAAGGCTTCTGGCTAATGCTGTGGCTCTGGTCTCGCACTCCAGGTGTGTCCACACAAAAACTAAAATGCAGTCACTCTACTGATGAGTAAATGCAGGGGTTGCAGAAGCAATGAAGACATGGCAGCAGGGGTTTCACTATGAACTAGCTACCTGAGCACACACTCATGGTCCCACTGTCCAGGCAAGGAATGCCACCTTCACTGCTGCCCTTCCCAAAGCTAGCCTGGGTGCCCTACCAAGGGGCAATCTCGGCTCCAATCCCAAAACAGATGTGCTCAGCAGTGGGGCTCCTCCCTGCCCTCCCCGCCTACTTTGCGACACCAAATCCAGTGGAGATGTTTGCTGTACCACAGCCCTGCATTTACATCACACACCCTCTAAGGATGGACCATGGACCTGGTCCCCATGTCATGTCACCATGCGCAGTGGCAGGATCAGGCTGTCGGGTTCAGATAGGCTGTGTGTCTGCTGGGTACAGAATGGAGATGCAGATAAATGCCAGATAAACCCAGAGCGAGGTCGGCCATGTACAAATAACTCAGCAAAACAGACGGGCAGGAATTTAAAGGCAGCTGGAAGGCTGTGTGAAGGGAGAACCTACACATCCTGTGCTTGTGCACTGGGGAGACCACAGTGGGTTTTTAATGGCAGGGTGAGGCCCCTGGCTCTCACTGAAAACCAGCAGCAATTCGTTTGCTTTTGATGATTCTGTAAACAACAGTGTATTAGCATTGAAGGTCTCATCCATAGTCCCCCCAGCATTCCTTTGCAACTTGCTGTGTTTCAGCAAGGGAAAGATGAAAGAGATGCCATGTACCCCACACTCAGCAGGGCTGGTAACGGACTTTCCTGCTAGGAGGAGCTCAGTGAGCCACAGCACTAGAAGAAACCCACCTCTTCGCTGATCCCTGCAAGAAAAAGGGATCACCCACAAGTTTCCAGCCAAATATAGCTAACTTCCAGGGAGTGCTCTCACCTGGAGGGGACTGCAGACTAGACCAGAGGTGGTATTTGACTGCCAAATGGTCCCATCACGTTAACGCAAAGTCAGATTTCCCTTGTCCTTGCTCTGCCTTTGCTCAGCCCCTGAATGAGGCTGCTGAGGTCTACCAGAAGCAAATGAGGAACAGGCACCTCATCTGCCAGCTGCAGCACCGTAACTCTGCCGAGAAGGGCCCATGCTGCAGACAAGGCTGCCAGTGCAAGAAGCCGGTTTCAGTCAGGGGCAAGTTTTCAGGTTTGTGTTAAACCACAGTCTCAGGTCTTTGTGCCCTACAAAAGCAGAGGCTGAAGTCACTTTTGGCTCCCCATTCACAAGTCAGGAATTTAGTTGAGTATCACCTAAAGCATTGGTCTTGCAGCTTTTATTGTAGAAGTGGCCAAAGTCTTGCCGGCAGTTTGGTACTGCTCTACAGAGACTTAGGGCAGTTAAGCAACCTGACCAACACAGCCAGAAAGATTTCAGAAAGCTCCTGGTTTATTGCTTCCAATGAAAAAAAGAGGAACTTCTTTGGACTTCTGGGATAAAGGAATGTCTTTGGTGAAGCTCAGATGCAACCACAAAAATTAATAGGCCCTTCTGAGGTTGGGACCCTTTCCAATCCCATATATAAAATCCCTCACATAGGTACGAACGTTTCAGCTACTTTTTAAAACTCCCGTGAAAAACAAGGTTCAATAATAAAAAATAGAAAGATCCAAACTTAGGCAGGTCCTGTCTATGAATCCCAGGCCAGCCAGGAACGGGGACGCGTGTGCTTCCTGCGCTAGCTGGTACCCTTCCTGCCCCGCCCTGCCCGCAAAGCCAGCACAAAACACTAACTTCACAAAGTGCTCGTAACAAGCTATCAGGCACCTGTTCAGACCAGCGGGCTGGTATGTCATGCTGAACGAACGCGGAAACTGCGTCGGTCTCTGCTAAACAAAGAAACACAACAGCATTAATTTCATTTCTGCATCTCATGAAACGTTCCCCGCTTCTCCGAGCCCTGCCCCTGGGAACCACATCCACGCTTGTGCCTCTGCTCCTTCCCTTGTCCTGAAAGAGAGCTTTTCTGGGTTAACAAATTGGTACCCTCACAGCGAACTCACGTCTCCTGGAGCCTTCCCCTGGGGGCCCGGGCAGGGAGGGGAAGTGAGGAAGGTACTTACGGCTTGGTAGGCTCCAGGGCCCCAGGTGATGTCTTTGACTCCACCGCACTGTTGAAGGTCTGGATGTTCTCTGAGGAGTAGAGGCCTGCTGGGCTGTTGTACTGAGCAGTGATCACTCTGGGGGCAGAAGCCGTGGCAGCAGTGAAGGGCACCGCGCTCCGGTTGTGTGCACTTCCTATGTGCCTTATTTCCTGCATGCAAAGGAGCAGAGGCAAAAATCAGAGGTGCTCAGGCGTGCAGGTGGGATGTGATGGGGCAGCCCGGAGCGAGCAGCTGCTGCAACGGTGGCCTTTGCATGTGTTGTCAGCTGAGGAGCACACAACCATGACCACCAAAGCAGGTGAGCGTCCTCCACACATCATGAGGGACCCATCCTGGATGGCTTCAGGCTGACCTTCAGGACATTTCAGAGTTGACATGCCGGGAACTTAAGAGCTCAGAAACACTGCCAGAGCTATTAGCTCAAGCTGTCACACACCTGGGAGCTCCTGCAAGCCTACAGTAAGCCACAGGACCTACCTTCTCATGCAAGACTACAGATTTTAAGCATTCCTTGCAATTCCTGAAAGCAGGGCTGATTTCTATGGAGAAGTGAAGATGAGGGGCAGAAAGAGGAGCACTCTTCAACAACATCTGAAAGTTTGGCTCTCCTTAGATAAGAGCAACCCAAAAAGAACGGCTTTGTCACTACTACAAATGCTCTGGAGCATGTCTACTCCTTCAGCTAAGACTGAGGTTCACAGCTGCCTTTGACAAACAGCTTTGGACTTTCTGGACAAGAAATTCCCACAATAAAGGTGGGAAGATGACTCTTCTTGTTAATACAAAAGGCTGTCCACAGACAGTGACAGCTAAATGCCAGAGATCTTGTCAGTGCCAGAAGTATGAGATATCACCCAGACATTCTGGGTTTGCTGCAAACTGGAGGCTTCCAGAAGTATTAGTGGATACTTAGAAACACCGGTTACAATTGAATAAGAAAGGGGCCAAACCCAAGTTAAATAAGACATGAGGTAAGACTCTTCTGAATCACTGGCAGTACTAACAAAAATGGGGAAATTTATAAGCCACATCCCCATTTCAGCAGGCTGGGAATTAGCAGCCTTGGGGCAGAGATAACAACATCCAGGGCTTTTTTTCTCCCGAGAGAAGATGCTTGACCAAAGGAAGGAGTAAGCACAGCGGGGCCTTACTAGAGCAGGCAGAAGAAAGGACTAACATTCACAGAGGCGGCTGAAATATCCAGAGCTAAAAGACGGCACCAAAATATGCATTTTGAAACGTTTCAGCCAGCTATAGAGATTGGGAATGGCTTCACTACAGGGCTAACGCCCCATGGCACAGGATGAAACGGGGCCCTTCTTAACATGCTGGGCCCATGGTTCCCAGCTCTAATTACCACAACCGGTTCCCCCTCCCACTCCATACAGGCGCTGACTTCTACAGCAACGAAGTGAGCCTTCACTGCCCTTTGAACGCCTCACGGCATTTGTTTGATAAAGCTATAGTTACAGGATAAACACTCACTAGAAACAAGGATGACTAAACTCCCCTACAGATTTTTCTTTAAATTGCTTTTATGTCCCCAGATTTCCTTAAGCAGCTGGCTAGCATTCCCAGACTGACAGATGGGAGTCATCTCGCTTCATGGCACTCAAATGCTATTTATGGCATCAAGCACAGCATAGGATCCCTCAGAGAAGAGCGTTGTGGCTCCCAACGCACTCATGAGTTACAAGTCATTTGAAATCAGCGGGGTAGCTCAAGATGTTCAGGTGTGGGGTGGCGGGACTGCTCTCCCATGGCTTTCTGGCCAATCCGTATGGACATCAGCCATGAAGCCTTCCCACACACCAAAGGAAGAAAGACCCTGGAGTAATTAGCTAATCTCCCTTTGTTGCAATCTCATTCAAAGCACATAATAGCGCTCATAAAAATAGTCTTTCCCATGGCAGAAACTGTGGATTTTAGCAAAAAAAATTACTTCAGCCTGTATATTACACCGTGGGGAAAAGTATCAGTAATCTTTTATCAGCATTAAATACACGTTAGCCCACCATTTAGAGGCCACAAGTGGGAGAGGGTTTCAGACGTGCACATAAATAGTCAGTTTAATAAAAGACAGAGGCAGAAGTGTTAGGCTAAAGGGGTTATACTCTTAGGTCAAATAATAGGCTCAAAGTTGAAATCATGTCACAACCTGTATTGTGGAAATGTTTAAGTATTAACCAAGAATTAGAGAAAGGGAAGTAATTTAGACTTTTCTTTTTTAAATTCTGGTTTCCTAAGGAAGTAAAGTGTCTCAATTACATGCTCCACATGCACGTGGGCACGTTCCCACCACCACCAAGGACCCTTGACTCTGTCAGCGAAGCCCAAATCAGTTTGACAGTGATGGAGGCCTCAAGGATGTTTAAGTTCCTACAAGTGTTGAGAAAATAGACGGCCAGATGGAGGAGAGAGACTGAAATCACATTAGTGCCTTGACTCCAAGAAGAACTGCAATGCACGCTCAGGCACCGAATCCACATAGGAGATTTTGGCCACCAGGTGGGTTTTCTGCTGTGTAATAACATCCAAGACCATAAATGAAGCTTTCAAAAGTGTCAGGACATCTGTAGTAGCTCTCATGTGGATAAAGTCCACTGACTATAAGGGAGTCTATAACAAGTTAAATAGAGATATCGGTGCAGAAGGTGGTGCCTGAAGATTAGATTAGAAAAAAATCCCATCTGGACAACAGCGTAGAAGGTGTATAACCCGAGAGTCTCCAGACAAGTATTACAGGAGCAGTAACATTATAAAGGGCATTTGGATAATCCAAATTCTCCAGCACCTCCTGTCATACCATGCTGCTCTTTCTGCTCGAGCTGTGGAAGGAATTTGCAAAGAACAAGTACTTTCATGATCCCAAGATCAAAAGATAACGTGTTCTCACTGTCAAATGTATTTACCTAGGGATTTGCCAGAACTGCCAGTCCAGGCCCTGTGCTGTGCAGCAGTTTTGTTAAAGCCCCAACTCCTGGAATCATGTGTTTATGTGAGAGTCTCTGACTTACTACTGGGGAAAAAAATCAGAAATGTGACCCTCCCAAAAACCTGTCCACCAGCAAGTGAAAAATGTTAGTACAAAACCACT